TATATATATTTTTTAATTTAATTAAAAATAATTGCATCAGAATATATCTGGACAAGAGGAATAATTTCGGTCCCAATAATGTTTATCAAATAACCAGCAATCTTTATTAGGAATGTGCGGATTAGGTCCTTTTTTAAACCATCTGAAAATCAAAATTAAATATAAATATACTCAGAAGAAGTTACTCTAATGTATTTTTAATTATTTGATTACAATTTAATAATTTTTTTTATTTATTAAATTATATAAAAATAGGTACCGAGGCTTCCATATTTCATTATTTTTTTTCCGCAATTTTCTAGCTTCTCTCTGTTTTTCTTCCAGACGATGTTTTTCGTATGCTGCTTCATCTAAAGACAGAAAATAATTGTTTTATGAATATTATAGATATCTATGCCAACAAAATAATTACTTAATGCAATAATACTTTTAACATACACTTAAACAACAACAAAAAAAACCTGGTGCCATTTTCTGGTCATTGTCTCTTGTCTTCAAGAAACAGTGTCTATGTCACAAGCTGGTCACTGATTGGTTAAACATTTGTTTATGTATATGTATAAATTATTTGTTTATATTCTCGAGAGATTACCTCTTCTCCAAAAATGCAATTCTGGACAACTTTTCTCTTAGATTCTAGTCTCTCATCTTCCAGAGATGAGCAGATAGTCATCTTTCAATTTGTCTTTTGTCTATAATCTAAATTTCATTACATGCAATATGAATGACCGGATGCTAGTTGCACTATACAATTGTATTAGATAACATTATTTCAAAATACTCTTTCCCAAGATAGAGATAATGCTTTTAATCTTTTAAAGTGGCCACATTACATTTTATGTGGGAATACTATTGACTCCATCTTTTTCTTAATGATTCTACTATCAATTACTGAACTATTGAATATGTTGTTAATCTTAACCATTAATTCCAGTCATCTCTTTCTAACTATTTTTCAAAATATTACCATCTAATTTCTTTTGAAATAAAAATATATGGCCAGGACAAATTAATCATTACAAAAAAATCTTTAAAAAAGATTCCTCAAAGACAATACATACAAATGTGTCTTTATTCCAATCCAGTCCTTTCAAACACACATCTTTTTTAAATATTTTTTGTAATGATTAATTCATCCTGGCCATATATCAGGTCAGTCCATAAGTTCATACATATTTTATAACCTTGAGAAAAATTGTGTTTTGCTGTTAAACTTGTCAGTCTAATGTGATACTTTTTACACTGAAGTGTTAAATTGGATCTCATTCATATAATACTGTTCAGAATTGGGAACATTTCAGTTGTTTATTTTCGTTAAAATGGAAGTAACAGACAAATATAAGAGACATGTTTTATACCTTTTATTTTTAAGTGATGAGAATGCTACAAATGCTGCCAAAAAATTAAATACTGTTCATAATCAAACTGTAATTAGTGTAAGGACTGCGCAGAAGTGGTTTGAAAGATTTAGAAATAATGATTTTAGTGTGGAGGATAAGGCTCGTACTGGAAGACCCGTTGACTTTGATGATGATGCTCTCTCTGCACTAGTTGAAGCAGAACCATCTTTAACAGTTGATGAAATTGCGGAACGTTTAAATTCATCCCATGGAACTGTTCATAGACATCTACAACAAATCGGAAAAGTTTCAAAGCTAGGAAAATGGATACCACATGAACTGTCAATAGCTAACTGACAACAACGTCAACTGCTCAACTCAAAAGCTTCAACTGGGAAATTTTACCTCATCCACCATATTTGCCAGATATTGCTCCCAGTGATTATCATCTTTTTCGGAGTTTGCAGAATTTTTTAAAAGGAAAAACTTTTGAGGATGAGAACAATGTAAAAAAGGCTATTTCTGAATATTTTGATTCAAAACCGAAATCATTTTACAAAGACGGGATTAAAAAGCTACCATCAAGATGGCAAGAAATTGTACAAAATAATGGTGAATACATTATAGATTGAAATAAAATTTAATTAAAATTTTTTGTTGCTTTTTTTTGTAGATAAAAATATGCATGAACTTATAGACTGACCTGATATTTTTATTTCAAATGTATTTTTAATTTTATATAAAGTGCCACCACCAGACAGAAGACAAGCAGCCTATAAAGAAAGGTCGACTCCGCTGTGAAATTGTTAATTCCTCAAATGTGCATTTGAAAGGACTGGATTAGAATAAAGACACATTTGTATGTATTGTCTTTACAAAAATCTTTAAAAAAAGATTCCTCAATGATCATCTAATTTCTCTTTAATTCAATTTGCACATTTTTTCTAACTAAATTAATTTATCACAATTTCTATTTGTTAAGAGACAAAAGTATAATACAATACAATAGTATGTTTTTAGAAAGTCCAATACTGATATTCCTAGTTTAATAAAGTTTGATTTTAATAAACTCTGGAGTGAGATTGTTTTTCTTAAGTGTAGATCTTGAAACTTGAATAGTGTGTTAAAAATTATGATTATTCAATTCAGCCAAGATATTAGATTTATAAAAAAACATAATATACCAAATAACAAATATTCTATTTATAATGTTAAACAAAGAAGCCAGTTAAAAAATACTTGCATCCAATTTACTTTTATAGTAGTAAAATTTTTGAAAAATCTTTTATTAACTTACCCACATTACCATTCTCTAATAACTGTATATCTGGACGTAAACGACTGTCAGTTGGTGGAAGAAAACTTTTCATGGAATCATGTAGTTCATTTAATGCCATTGCGAACAAAGTGAAATTATAATACTGTAGTAAATATAAAAATTCATATTTATAAAAATTGTAAGTCTCATATATATAATAAAAGAATAATATAATAAATTACATTAATATACATAAAACTTAAAAAATTTATTTTAAGATTATACAAACATTCAAGCTCTAATCAGCTACCATGTGTGAAGTTTGATTATTCATTGTAAATTTAAAAAATATTTTAAAATCTCTGTCTTACCAGAAGTTTACTGATGAAACAGAAAATTGGATCATATGAGATTACTATTCATACTACCTCACTGATATACAGTAGAGCATCAATTATCTGAATATTGATCAACTGAAAGCTTTCCAGTCAGCAAATGTAAATTTCCACTAGTGCTGTGGCACTGCAATCTTTGTCTGCAAAAAAAATCTTTTTCCAGCTGCATGGAATATTTTTGCTGAATTATATGTTTTAAAGATTGCAGATTCTAAAAATAACTTCCGTTACATCCCATCACGTAAAGGTTTTTTGCAAAATAAAAACAAATTTTTTATAAGAACTCTTATTTATTACAATGAATTGAATATATTATATTTTCTTATAACTAATCGACAAATTGTTTCTGGTATTTATACACAATTTTAAGTCTACTCTTTTTTTCTTATGAAACCTTTTCTTCTTCTTTTTGATGCTTCTCCAAACTTGTTTCTGATTTCCTTCTCTGTTTCTCAATTGAGCATCCAACAGTAGACAGCTAACATATTGACATCCCATTTTCCTTGGTAACGTCTCTCAACATTACAGACTTCCTGGTGAAATCTTTCATCCTGTTCTTCATTGTAGGCTCCCAAGTTTTCAGGAAAATAGTCAATATGGGAGTGTAAGAAATGAACTTTTAAGCTCATCT